ATTGCAAAGACCATGGCCTGTATCAGACACACCTTAGTCTCCAGAGTGACACCATTGCTCTTCAGTACTTTGGAGAGGTCCCTAACAGCAGACTTTCCCACCGCAATACGTCTTTTAATTTCCTGGCTGCTGATGCCAAGAGTGTTGACTGTGGAGCCAAGTAGACTAAAGCTGTGAACAATCTCAATCTCTTCACCACCCATCCTGATGCTGCCATTGGTCCAGTGGTGAGAATCTTTGTTTTCTTGATATTGAGTCTCAATCATATTGAAGGCTGTAGTCCTTGCAGTCCTTTCTCCTATACCTACCACCAAACCTGCCCAACTCACAAGTACTTCAGGTACAACTTAACAAAATGCTACCCAGTATTGTAGCTTATGATCAACTACAGATCAGACCACTGTGATCCACAGGGTTTTCATCAGCTCATGTTTCAGAAGTAAATTTCCAAGGCCTTTTTCCTACCTTAGTCTGGAAGCTACACTGAAACCTATTTTGCATCATAGCAGTATATAAGTTTCCAATGACAGATGGGTGATGGTTGCACATCTAGTTGCCTAGGCTTCAAACCTGGGCCTCCCAAATTGAGCACAAGAATTTTACACTGAACAACCTATTACTTAGAAAGTTATTCTACAAAGCCAAAGGTGGATGATTTTAATCTGTGGCTCTGAGGCCTGGTTTAAATTGGTTTTTTTGTCAAACATTCTTCTAGGTGGTCTAGTACTGGTTTGTGCATTGCTGTACAGAGGTAACTTATGGTAGCTGTGATGCTGAACATTGTGACACTGATGTGACAAATGTGATAATGGTTACCCATGGTGGACAGTGTTTGGTGGAGCTTCCCAATTAAAACAAGCTTGGAAGCAGGAGTGGCATCCACTTCCGAAAAAGCTTGCCTCCGGTAACTCTATGAACGGGGAGAAATGATGAAAGTTATACAAGTGTTCAGGTCTTTGTTCATAGGATCGCTATTACTCGTCTACAATTCGATGGCACTTAACAACAACAACCCATTACTTCTCAAAAAAGTAATTACTTCGGGCATATTGTCAGGAGGGTATAGTCCTTGGAAAAGGACATCATGCTTGGAAATGTGGATCAGAGAAAGACAGAAAGACCTCAAAAAGATGGACTGACACAGTGTTTCTAACAATGGGCTCAAAACTATCTGAGATGGTGAGGCTGCTGCAGGAAAGGGCAAAGTTCAGGTCTGTTGCTTATCGGGAGGCTGGAAGTCTTAGTCAACTTGAAGGCACCTAACAACAACAATATGCCACCTGGCACAGGTACTCAAATGATATTTTCTGGAAGCAATATTTATCTTACAATAGGGGAACTTTGTCAGAACTGTTAAAAGCTGTTAAAATTGATTTACCATCTTTAGGCGTCAAGATTTTCCCTCTGCTTCTCATTTGCTTTGATGCTTCCTCAGAAAGGGTCCCATGAACAACAGAAACACTCACTCCAGCTTTTTCAAAAACACGCCCATCTTGAAGCACACAGCTTATGCCACCTCCTCCTATTTACATAAAGGGAATATTGGGAGAAAACGTAAATATAGATAAATATTTATATAAATACATAAAACTGCATGAAGGTAGTGGGATTATAACATATTTTCTCCCTATAATTTCTAAATGTTCTAGACTAACATATTTATTAATTAAAAAAAAAATAACTAGTTTGTGATATGAGCTACTGATATTGGGCAAGGATTATGCCTCCTGACAACTCTTAAGTCTTTCTTCTGTATTCTTACGCTATCATTTACAATTAGGCACTAGAATATTTTCTCTACAAAATACTACTGCTCAAAATGGCATTAATTACGATGAATGAAAGTTAAGGCTTAAGACATGAATGAGTATATCTGAAGGGAGTTACGTTATTATTACTGAATTTAAGAGGCGACTGTTTCAACTGAAAACCAATGGCTTAAGGAATTCAGAACCCAATATTGAGTGAACTAAACAACTGCTGACAAATAGATTCTGACTCATGAATATGTCAAAAGAACCATTTTTGAGGGAAGATTTTTCGGAATTAGATTACCAGACTTTTCTTCCATTATTCCTCTGGGTAGACTGAAAACTCAAACCTTCCAGTTAGTTAGTAGTACAGTATAGTAACCATTTTCACTACCCAAGAAATCTGACAATAAGTGAGATACTAACAAGTACTTTGTCATGTTGTTTAGCGGTTGTTTGTTTAATCACTTAAGTTACCTCAGGGACAACTGATTCATGGAGGTTCATGTTTGGTTTAATTTCTTTCTAAGAACATTCAAAAACTGACATAGCACTAAGGAGGTCCAGAACTTATGAATATTTCAAATAAGAAAGCAATGACAAAGAGGCAAGACATCCAAGATCACATAGCTGTGTATCAAGGGATATCCCAAGAGCTTTATCAGTATTATAAGTATTCATCTCATTTAATCATCACCCATCACCATACCCTATATACTACAATTGCAATTCTCAGATAAGGAAATAGGGAGGAAAAGAATAATTGTTCCAAAATCACACAGTTAGTCTAGGACCTGAAGTTATGCTCTGCTTCAGTGATCTCCATCTGAAAACGTTTCAAGATTGGAAAATAATTATAAAAGTCAGATTTAACATCATTTCATATAGATGTATAGCATCACTGCTCAGAATCCACTAGAGACAAAATTCTGCAGTATTCTCAGGTAGGAAAAAAACCCAAACAAAACTCAAGAATCCTTTAAAGAGTATGACTGAGATGTGAAAATTCATTGTAAAGAGTTCGTGGATATTTATAACTACAAGAACTCCCTTTAATGCACACTCATGTTTATCGTGGCTTTGTTCACAATAGCAAGGAGTTGGAAACAACCTAAGTGCCCATCAACAAACTAATGGATAGAGAAGCGGTGGTATATTCACACAATGGAATACTATGCTGCACTGAAAAACAAGGAACTCATAAAATATTCAAAATGGGTGACCTTGGAGGACATTATGCTGAGTGAAGTGAGGTCACAAAAGGACAAATACTGCATGGTGCCACTCTTGTAAAACAGGACTGACATGGGGGTTGGGGGGAGACTGAGAAATATGGGTTCAATAATGTTTACTGCATTGAAAAAGATGAGGGAGAAAACTGTTTAAAAGGGCTATGTGATTAGGTATTTTTGTCATGACAGGAGTCCAGAGCTAAGCTGCATAGTGGAGTGGACCTGGGGGGAGGAATTTTAAAACAATGAAAGAATTTTTCTTTTACTTTTCCAAGAGTGTTGTGTATTGGAGGGGGAGGATTGGGAGGGGAGAAAAGTGCAACAATGAATGAATGGAAATCCAAAGTCTCTGTAAATTTTAATTGAAATTAATAATAAATTTTTTAAAATGTTTAAAAAAATAAGGTTTCAGATGATAAAAAAAAAAACAACAAAAAAACCTCCCTTTAAGTACTAAAGCATTTGACATTAGAAGAAAAGCATTTTCCTTGCAGGAAATCTCATAAGAGCTTTTAGAAGTACTGTCAAACCTATATTTTTTTGTGCAATGGGAATGAGTAGGAAGATTCTAACTTATTGCCACCCTCAGCTGGGGGGAATTCCTCCTTCCATTTCCCAATGACTAAAATAGGTTGCAAGCAGAAAAGCGATGAAATGTTGGGAAAATGTATATTTCAATAGCAAGCCTTGGATATGACTACAAGAACTCCTAAAATATCTTAATGATGTCACTGTATAAAGGCCAGTACCACAGTGACTACAAATCTGGGTCACCACTTATAAACAGAGGAGTGGTGACTTGTATTGCTAATGTTTTCAACAGAGTTCTTCCTAAGTGGACCCCCTCACTCCCCAACCCTGGGCAGGTAGGTACTCTCTTCTCACTCTCATCTCTCCACTCATAGAACTTCTCTGTCCTCAACCTGCGACTCCACCTTCCCCTGGGGGCGAACCTCCTTACCTTCCTTCCTCTCCCACCGGTCCACAGAGAAGGTGGCGCCTCCGTCTACCTGAGCTAGAGCCTGGCACACCTGGGCCTGCGTCTCCATGATCAACAGTTCCATCTTGGTCTTCACGTCGTCTGGCCTCCCCCGCAACTCGCGCAGGTCAGTCACAGGCAAGGCCATGAAGCAGCTGCAGCGGCGAGCCAGCTCATCTTGCTCCTCTGGTCTTGGCGGCTGGGGGCTCCGCGCCCGCGTGCTCTTGGGCACCATCTCTGCCCACTCTACGTGTCCGAAGGCTGCGGCGGCCAGTCCCGCGAGCCCCGCCAGAGCGACGGTGAGCCCGGCCCCCACCCGGGGTCCGCCCCTCGCACTCGGGCCGATCCTCAGCCCGCGGCTCTGCACCGCGCCAGCCGTGCCAGGCAGCCGGCAGATGCGCCCGGCTGCGCAGCGCCCGGGCCAAGCACGCAGCGCTCCGCAGGCTCCCCGCGCCGCATGCCAGCAGGGGCCGGCGCCTAGTCGACTCAGGTGCAAGGCCATGCTCCCTGCGCTCTCACCCCAGCAATGCCCGTGCTCTGGAGTCAGAACCGTAAGCCCCTAGCGGTGCCGCCGGGTCAGTGAGTCACTGGGTGAGAGAGAACCTTTAACCAAGAAGAGTTACTACCGGGTCCCACGACCGGCAGGAGGCGGGGATGCTGGGAGCTGTAGTTCTGGCTCTATCGACGCCTGCAGGAACCTCGCGGGGAGATAAGGAATACACCGCCCTTGGAGGGCTTGTCCCTAGGCTAAAGGGCGTGGGCCTGGAGTGCTCAGTCGTCTTGTGTAAGCTTTAAGCAGAGATAAAAGAGGTTCTTTGGATCTGCTGTTTAATCAACCAGAGAGCACCAATTTCAGCGGGAAGGTAGTCAGACACACTCACTCCCCACACACCCCCGCCTCGACTTGATCTTTCTATTTGCTGAATTCAAATCCTTTCCTTGTATGTGACATACCAAGACTCGTATTTGGACACTTTTAGGAGCAGTGCGGATGGAGTCTGGGAGACCCCTTAATTAAGGGCTGAATTGTTGAGTGGAGCCTGGGAGACTCCTTAACCTAAGGGCTAAATTCTAATGAAATAGGAAAACACTACTAAAGGCCTTTTAAGAGACACCTAGGATAAAATTTTCTGTGATTAGGGCCACATCTCAGTTCTGTACCTTCCAGGTCTTGTTCATCTAGTGACTCCTTGATAGTTAAAAAATAGGAAAAGCAAAGTCACTTTTTACCATGTAAGAAACCTAATTAAGTGCATGATTGAGAAATACTCAAACTCACTGCGGTCAAGCAGGTTTCCACTAATAGTTGACCTGCCATATAGGCGGGTAACCTTCAAGGCTCTAATTTGCACAGATTGCTCATGTTTCTTACTGCTCTATTGGTGAAGTCCATAGGGAGTTAGGCTGCTAACTAAATGCACCGATCTCTGGTTGTAATCCACCAACGTTTCCATGAAGGAAAGATTGGCATTCTCCCTCTCAAAAAGGGAAGAAAGGTCTACCAAGAGTCTGTTCTGACTGTGACAACGAGATAATGAGAAAGAAGAAGTTTTAAAATAGTTTTTTAACCTATACTTATAGAACACTGCCAGTTTTCTCATTTTATTATCCTGACAATTCCTGTAAACTGAGACAGGGAAATATTGAAACTCTTTCCCCAGCCAGCTCGTATCTACCTACCATCTTCCCTTATAGCACACATACTTTAAAGAAATAAGGAAAGCAGCTAACATGATCTTGACACATTGCCGTGGAGCTGGAAGCAAGCCATACCTGACCGTCGAGCAGGTAATCACATGGAAAAAGAATCCCCATGTTTCTCTCTGGGAGCTGCTGGTAACTTGGCTCCATCTTCTGGATAAATTCTTATTATTGTAATTATCCCAATGAAGTTCCTGGATAATAAAAAACGATAAGCATCTCACAACTAACTGAAAGCTTGGCCTTTCAAAGCCACTTAGAGGGCTTTAAAATCAGTCTTCCATAAGGCCATATCCTTGAAAACCTTATAGAACAGTATTCTGTAAACATGAAATTGCCATGTATCAGATTTAACTAGTACCAGCAACAATCATTCTAACCTATCCCATGAGCATACAACAGTGTAACAAACCTTTTTCTTTAAATTTTCAGATTAATTTTATTTTCTAATAGTAGAAATGTCTAAACAACAATTCTGGTGGCTTAGCGGGTAAGGAGTTGAGCTGACAACTCAAAGACACGTGGCTTGGATCCACCAGCTTTAGGAAAATGTTGAGCCATCTCCTCCTGTACAGTTTAGAGCCTCTGAAAACCTACTGGAAAGTCAGCTCCAGCCCAATTTAAAGTTGATGGCAATGAGAGTTAAAAGAGAAAAATGTCTTACAAGGACATCTAGAATATTCCATGAAAGTGAGCATAGCGAGACTGTTTAACATACTGTAGGCATTTCATCCAGAGAGATGAGTCCCTGAAGAAGGACATCATGCTTGGTAAAATAAAAAGAGGCTCTGTGAAAAAAAAGTTCCTCAACAAGATGAATTGACACAGTGACTGCAACAACAAGGGACACAAACATCTATGCTATTATGGACCATTCAGTGTTTTGTCCTGTTATACAGGGTGTCTCCATAAGTCAGAAAATATTTAATAGCTCTTAACAACAATAATAGTAGATAATAATTTAAGCCACTACTGGCAGACCTGGAAATCTGTTAGTTATGGATGTGACTAACTGCATCTCATAGTGAACTGCAGACCTCATAGTGAAGACACAATTGGTATTAATTGGGTGGACATGCCTTTCCGTGCCTAGCAGCTAAGAGTCGATGGAAGGGAAAAAGCCTGGATTGAGAAGGAAATCAAATGGGAAAGAAAGAGTACTGGCTTATAACCACAGTAGAGCTTGTGAAGTTGAGTTGGAAGAGAAAGACAGAGAGGGGAATTATCACTCACATAGAGGTTGTTTACCTCTTCTGGATGCCTATGATAGGGCTTTGCAGGCCTGATGTTGGTGATAAATGAAGCTCGTTAGTGGAAAGGAACCTCCCTGACTCAATTTCTCTGTAAGAACTCTCTTTAGTATTTTCTATAATTCTCAAAATATCCATGAAGATAGTTATAAAATAAAGGACAGACTATTTGGACACTTGCCCAGACAAATAATCTAATCCTGAGTGTATTTGTACAGCGGATTCTGGATATTTCTAGTAGCTGCTCCGTGCAATGGACCTCTCCCCTTTCCTGCTCAGGCTGGAAATGTCTTTGTGTCTTCATCCCTATTTGTGAGTTTAGGAAAGACCCTAAACATCTGGTTAGTGTGAATTGTAATCTTCTTCATGGAGAGCAAGTTATCTCCAAGGAAGATGCTTTTATTTAAGTCTAATTAATTAATTTTGCTTGCCTTTGAGTAAAAACTGACCTATAGCTGACCTTACAGCAAATTTTCAGAGGCAGTATGTCTCACGGGAAGAGATGGCCCATTCTTCTCCTACAGACCAGCAGGTGGATTCAAACCACATATCTCTGGGATTGCAGCACAGCTTCTTACCACTATGTAAGCAATTGCCACTACCAACATGCTAGTGGAGATGAAATTAATTATAAAATATGATATATAAGGTATAAACTCCTACCTTTTAAAAAATATGCTGTCCTTCAGTGTTTTATCAATTTATTATCTGCGTAGCATTATAAGCGAAAAAGATTCCACCCAATTTTATATAAACTCACTGAATCCTCACTATTTCATCTGAATTTCAAGTTCATTTTAAGAAAAAGTTTGAAGCACTGAACACCAATGATCGAAGACCAGATAAATTATGGGATGATATCAAGGATATCGTTTGTGAAGAAAGTAAAAGGTCATTACAAATACAGAGGAGAAAAAGAAAACTGAAATGGATGTCAGAAGACACTCAAAAAAATTACAACAGTGCATCGAGAAGCCAAAACAAGGGGCAAACATGCTGAAGTAAAGAGCTGAACAGAAGATTTCAAAGGGCAGCTCAAGAAGATAAAGCAAAGTATTATAATGGAATGTGTAGAGAGCTGGAGTTGGAAAAGAAAAAGGGAAGAATTTCCTCTGCATTTCTCAAGCCGAGAGAACTGGAAAACAAATTTAAGGCTTGAGTCGCAATATTGAGATGCTATGAGCAATATGTTGAAAGACCCAGGAAGCAGCAAAAGAAAATGGAGAGAATACACAGAATCACTGTACCAAAAAGAACTGACTGACACTGGAAAACGTCAGGAAGTACCAAATGAACAGGAGCCAATGCTAATGAAAGAAGAAATGAAGCTTCAATGTAAGCATTGGGGGGGGGGGGGGAAATCAGATCCAGGAATTGATGGAATACCAATTGACTTGTTTCAATTAACAGATGCAGCCCTGGATGCTCTCATCAGTCTATGACAGGAAATTTGGAGGACATCTGTCTGGCCAACAGATTGGAAGAGGTCCATATTTTTTCCAATTCCCAAGAAAATGGATCCAACAGAATGTGGAAACTATCAAACAATATCACTAATATCACATGCAAGCAAAATATTGATGAAGAACATGCAAAAATGTCTAGAATAGTGTATAGATAGGGAACTGCCAGAAGTTCAAGCAGGATTTAGAAGAGGCCATGGCATCAGGGATATCATTGTTGCTGTCAGATAGATCCTGGCTAAAAGTAAAGAATACCAGAAGAATGTCTACTTATGCTTTATTAAATATGCAAAGGGACTTGACTGTGTGAATAATAACAACTTAGGGTTAACATTGAGAGAATGGGAATCCCAGAGCACTTAATTGTGCTCACATGAAACCTATACCAAGGCCAGGGACCTGTTGTTGTAATGTGCCGTTGAGTCCTTGAGATTCGTAGATACCCTATGTACATCTCTGAACTCTGCTCTATCCTGAGCCAAACTTACTGCCTCTGATACACCTAGCCCCCACCCCCATTACTCTAGTCACTGAGTCAATCCATTTCATCAAGGATCTTCCCCTCCTGCACTGTCCCTCTATCCTCCCAAGCATAATATCCCTCTCCAAGGACTGGTCCCACCTTGCAACATGCCCAAAGTATATCAGACATAACTTCAGAATTCTTGCCTCTAAGTATCATCCTGGTTTCACCCTCTCCAGGACGAACCTGTTTGTTCTCTTAACAGTCCATGATATATTCAATACTTTTCTCCAGCACTACAATTCAAAGGCATGAATTTTCTCTCTCTCATCCCTAGTCATTGTCTAGCTTTCTGGTGCATAGCACATAATTGCAAAGACCATGGCCTGGATCAGGAGCACCTCAGTCTCCAGACCAACGATGTTGCTCTTCAGTACTCTGGAAAGGTCTCTGACAGCAGACTTTCCCAGTACAATTTGTCTTTTGATTTCCTGGCTGCTGGTATCAAGCATGTTGATTGTAGAACCAAGCAAACTAAAGCTACATGGTTTAAAATTAGTAAAGGAGTGTGTCAGAGTTGTATTCTCTCTCCATACCTATTCAATCTGTATGCTGAGAAAACTAT